AATATTAACTTAATCAATTTATTGAACTGAAAACATAGTCATTAGATGGAAATCTGCAAAGTAATCGAATATCAAGAAAGACATTTTTTAATAATGTAGAATATTTTTCACTATATCTTACGATTATTTTCCTATTTATAATATCATACAGTTGGCTACAAATATAATATTTTCTTCAAATTATGTCAAATTCACAAGGATATTTTCTCTAAAAATCCTATAATCTATTCATTTATTCCTTTCGCGCTCAGAATATACAAAGACGTATCCTTTTTCATATGATATAAAACATCTCTGCGAAGATACGTGACAGCATTAAGGACTACAGAATAAAGTGTATAATTTAAGAGGACGAACAGTACTTCATTCGTAGCTCGCTCGCGAACATTCAATTCACAAAGTACGTGGTATGAGAGAAAATACGGAAAAACGGAGAAAAACAGGGTCGTATTTCGACAGAAAATTAGTGCCACTAATTAGTTAAGATGACACAAACGAATATAAACCAAGAGCTGCTGAAAACATGTAAAAAAAACTCCTATCAATCGAATAATATATAGCTACTATTTCATTTTCCTCATAAATAAGTCTGGGAATTGTATTATTAGTAATTGAATCATTAGCTCAAGGTTGATTATGACAAATTGCTCTACGTTGTTATAGGAAATTATTGATCCTTTTAATATCTTTAAGAGACATATTCTTTGTGAAGAATAATATGTTTTTTATGATTGAACATGATTTAAATGGTATTAAACTGAAATTATTTGAAGGATATTAAACTCTAGTATCAACATTATGTGATTAATAATTGATCTTATTATTATCTCACTTACATCTGAATGAGAAACATTTGCAGTATTAGGACAAAAAATTAGTGCTACTAATTAGTTAAGTTGACACAAACGAATATAAAGCAAGAGCGGGCTGAAAACATGTAAAAAATCTTTCGGATTAATCAAATAAATGTAGCTACTATTACGCAAAAGACGTAAATTTTATAGAGCAAACGATAGTCCATAATAGAAATAAGTTCGATATTATATTCATAACTTTGATAAACTAGTTTATACCAAAAAAATGGTTTGGTTATTAGGTCTGTTCAAGTATCCTTTATTACAATGATTAATTATACCTATTTTAATTTTTTCCAGTATTAACAATTTGATATGTTGATAGTAAAAATAATACATATTGTGAGTTAAAAATGAGACATAGAGTAGAGCGGGGCTAAATCTCCAAAAAATGAAGTTAGAAATTTTATAACAACAAGATTTGAAAGTAGAGAATAAAAGATGTATAACCAGCCTTGATTCTTAAACGTCGCTAAAAGATAAATGACAATGATAATTCATAACAAAAGTATTTTCCATTGAAAAAAGTTCGATAATCCATTAACAAAAGTAAAGTGATATAGTTCCTTATTACTAAAATTAAATTGGATCGTTGTGCCCCGCCTTAGCCTATAGTTAATTTGACAATATTTACTATTATAAAAAATATATTTTTTATCTAGAAAAGAATAACTTCTATGTTTGAAACATGAAAAATTACTGGAAATACAAGATACTTAGAAATTAGAATTAGAATGAACTAGAAATGCGTTTTTTTGCGAAACAAAATCATATACATAAAAATATAACTAATCAGTATACACTTACATTTAATTTTATAGATAAACTTAATAATTTTTGTCAGTCTCCACGCATGTTACTCTTTATTGTTTTTTTTATTTAACTTAAATGTATATATCTGAGTAGTCATTTTTGAGCTTTTCTGTACATATTCTTCTCTAGTTTTTTAAAATTAACCAATCTTCCAAATGTTAAATTATTATCTGATTTTCAAAAAAATGTATAACAAATATAAACTCAAATTTGTCAAATCTACGAAAACAGCACGTTAAAAGGTATTGGTATATTTAAGTCAACATATTTTTAAAATTCTAATAATGCAGATAAATTATATGAAATTTATAAAAACAACCAAAGAAAACATAATATTGTCTACTATTTCAAAATCTTTTCCCAAATATCGATATCATCCTGATTGCATCTACATAAATCGTTTACCACGTCTTGACCCATAAAGCTCTTAGATACTAGGGAATGGGTACTAAGTCGATTGCTCCCATCCCCCGACCTATTACCGTAGAACGTATCCGTTATTCCGGCGTGAATTATTATTTCATGAGGGATGACGTAGGCGTATGTTCGCGAAGGGTTGTCTTGACTTCACTAGTAGTGTATAGTAACGTAATGTAGCACAAAGGGGAAGTCGCAATGGCAATTGTGCGTGTGACGATTGATTGAATTGCCTATCTTTGGGAACATCTCGGGGGAGATAAGACAAGAAAATGTAAACACGATCCTGAGCCAAGGATGGCGGTGGGCTGGAAACGTTACATATAAGACGTGTTAACACACGAGTTAGGAGGGTAAACATTGAACGCTTAGGTGTGTTGAGTTACTGATTTTATCACTTTGAAGTGAAATTTTGAATTTATGTATGCATGCTTAATAAAAAATGGTACTTACATGTCTTTCGTCTGCTGAATTTAAACCTGTAACAAAAAATACATGTGATTAGAAATATGGTAAGCATAAATATAATAACAATAATTTATTATACACGATTTTCGAATATTGCAATATATTTAAAATATCTCAAAATTCTTCAAAATACACATAATATTATACAGAGTGGTAAGGAGGCGTCCGTTAATCACGTGATCGATTATTAAGGGTTTTTGGACATCTCCTGTCCCCGTGATAATACGCGATGTTTACGACGTTTTAAATCAAGTGAAAAATAAATACACGTGATATCTTATAAGGGGCACAACTAGTGTGAAATTTTCAAACAATCGAATTTTCAATTTTTCCATATTTCGATAGGTTATACCTTTAAAAATAAAATACCAAATTTTTAAATCGATATCTTAAATAGTTTTTGAGCCACAGCCATTTAAAGAGTATATATATAGTTTATAGTATAACGATCATTTTATCTTTAAACGCGTTTTTCTCGAAGCAGCATTTTCCGAATTTGCTGCAGCGATTATTCAAAGACAAATGATCCGATCACTATCAATTTTTTTTACATGTTCTATATATAGTTCTCCGGAAAATGAACCTATTTTGATCGGATCAAAAATCGAATTTTGGCAGTCCAAAAACGACCAAAATTTTTGGTAAAATTCGACTTTGTTTTAAAAAAACGCCGTCATTTTGTCAATTTTTTATTAACTTCCCGTAGGGTAAGTTATAGTAATCGCAAAAAAATCGAAAATGAAAATTTTTATATATCTTTACGTTTCAGAGGTTTCTGAATATTTTGGCATACCTTAGAAAAAATGGATGTATGTGTGTGTGTGTGTGTGTGTGTGTGTGTGTGTGTGTGTGTGGGTGCGTGTGTGTATGTATGTGCGGATACAAATTTTCGTCGACGATTTCGGGAACACGGATCAACCGATTTGAATAATTCAAAAAACATTCGATTCGTATTGATAAGGAGACGTGCTGATTAGTTTTTGGCAAAGGCAGGTCTAGCCGTTCCGGAGATACGGGGCAAAAAGTGCCGAAAACGGTAACTCAGTTTTTAAGAGAACGGAGCGTCCGATTTCAATAATTCAAAAAACATTTTACTTGTATTGAAAAGATAAAGAATTGATCAAATTTTCATAAAGGCAGGTCTAGCGGTTTCGGAGATATAACGAAAAAAGTAAAAAAAAATGCCATTTGGCGGTCAAAAATGATCATTAGACATATGCACATCAAATTTTCAGATATTTCATAGAGATTTTAACAATAAGTATAAATTTTGTTTATTTTCCTATGGGTTCCGTATCAATGTTTACCCGTTAGACAGCAACGCCGCGCTTACGCGCTTTATATTTCGTCTCTATGCAGTTAAAGCAGTACGATTGCTCTGAAAAACAAGTTCAGATCTTCCAAAATATGTCAAAATAAAGAAAACATTTTTCTTAAAAAAAAATAAAAATTAAAAAAAAATTTTTTAAAAAAAAAATTTTTTTTTAAAAAATTTTTTTTCAAAAAAAAAGTAATTTTTTGTCCAATTTATAGTTTCTCAAAAATCTTATTTTTTCGAAGTAAATTTTTTTCAATTTTTCAATTTTAATCATTTTTAAAAAAAATAATAATTTTTGGTACGGGAAGTTCCAGCAATTTGCCTTAAGGCACGATGCCCTAATTGCCTTAAGACAGAATTCCACTTACAGCTAGTTTTTTTTCTTTATCGTAGTTCATTTTACAGACAATATTATTTAGTTTAACGAGAATTTTTTTTAATTTCATCCACGTAGAAGGCCGGAATCACTGCAGCAGTGAAGGGCCTTTTTTTGTCGCGCCGTTGGAGATCGACGATAACTTAAAAAATATTTAATTTTTTTCTTCAAAAATTTTACTATGTATTCGTAAAACATGTATAAACATTTCCCTAAAATTTTGAAGTGATTGATAAAGTAGTTTTTTTAATATAATTTTCCAAAACACACCCTTTTTTAGGCGGTTACACTAGTTGTGCCCCTTAAACCCTTCTTCCTAAACGTGATATTTCGTAATATTTTGTCAAACTATTAAGTTATTATTATATTTATTATTTTTTCCCTTTCTAAAATCACTATTCTAAATAACATAAACACATATTTATCATTACATAATAGCCCAGTGTACTCCATTGTAACAAACCCAAATAAAACAAAAATAATAAATCATACAAAATTTACTACATTGTATATAATGGATCATATTATATATAATGGTATATTTATAGAGTTTTACCATGTGTTTCATATAACTCAATTTCACTTCGCTTTCGTAGGAGATATAACGAAAATTTGACGTTTCGTAGAACAACGCCATCGGTTTATTGGATTTATGACCCCGTTATGTGTGTGTCGAGTTCGCGGTCTTTTGTCTGCCTCAGCTTTACCTGGCGTATCCGGCCTGTGATTTAAGAGGTCACAGGTCAGGTGTTCCGTCGCATCGCGTAATACGTGTACCTTTGTCTTCGGAAATTACCTCTGGCAGAACACCGCTACAAAATATTGCCGGCGTATCTCGTTTCACAAAAGAACAAGAACAACTTTTTCAAGAGTAACGATATAATACATTAGATGGGATTGTAGGTAATTATTTATTGTCGATGTGCTGTTCCGTATTTGTCCAGTAAATTGAAGGCGTCAATTAACAGTAATTAGATATAATTGCACAGCTGATTATTTCATTTTGCAGCAGAAATGTTTAATGCGCGATAACGTTTATTAGGAAATATTGGTTCTATTAATTATTAATAAATATTTGTTCCGGTATTTTTTTATTTTTATTTTATATCAATTTGAAGTTTTTATATGTTCTGAGAGTAAATTTGTTTTGTTTGAAAAAAAATCAATCAAAATTTAAAAAATATAAAAGCTATTTGATTCAATTCATTCACTCACACTTATAAGTACACATATGAAATTATAGTGCTTAATTTTAGTATGCTAATAATTGTCACCCGATGAATGATTCACCAATTAAGCTCAGTTCCCGAAAGTTGCATTAAAGTTAAATACCTTAAATATTGTCTTTTGGAACCTTATATTTAAGCCTTCTTGAAACAGGTGTCTCAAGAAGTTGAGCGACTAAAGAATTAGTATGATCTTCCAGTTTTAGGAAATATTGGGCGCTGCTTAGCTTTTTACGCTGTCTACAAAATCTATATTTAGATCGTCATGTAAATTTGTTGTAGAAGTTAAAATACTAAAAATTTCATTTCGTCAATTACATCAGTTCATTATGTTAACTCATAAAAACAAAATTAATTAGCTTCCTAATCCAATACAAAAGACATAAAAAAAAATCCCCAAACAACTATCTTGATTAAACATCATCAATACCATACAGATATATAAACAAGTTATGTAAATATCTACACATATGTGTTTTCCATATTCCATTACCGTAATCAAATTACACCTTTCGGTCAACATTAACTGAAGCAAAGGTGATTGAAAACGAGGCAATCAAACCAGCAAAACTTCTATATATACCGACAAACAAAAAATAAATGCTAACGATAAGTATTCACGGCATTCGCATAACGTTTGGGGTTAATGGGATCATGTCATGAACGCGATCGGAGCTCATTTCAGAGCACGGCAACTCCTGACGTTAAGTAGAGGTGTTGAGAAAACATCGAATTTTAATGATAAAAGCTGTTGAATGAAAGCAATATTGATGTAATAATATTTATATTGTATATTTTTGTTATATAACCTTTCTTATATATAACTTTGACTGAAGATATCACTGTTGTCGCATTAGCTGTGGAATCTTCTAACGGTCAGAGAATTATATCTGGAAAATTTTTATCATTTCATCAAAATAAAATTCAATTGAACAGAAAATGCAATACAATAGATGTAGTCTTAGTTAGTAATAAGAGATGTATCAACCAAACTACTATTTAAAATCATATTGCTGCCTAAATATATCTGGCTCAAATTCCGAATTTAATCAAGGTATTTACCAAGATCTTCCAGCACTATAGTTGCTATAATAAAAGCAACCGCAAAAGCATCATTATAAAAGCAGTCATCATATTTGAACATTATCCAAGTTCAAGGGTGAGCATTCCAAATTTTTGCGACATAAGCAGTTCATTTGGGTTAATGTCTAAAGATACACTCTGAAGATATTCAATACTGTAGTTATTGTACTCTGATAAAAACTACAAAGCACTAAGTATACTTTGATAAAAAAAACGCGCAATAATTATAATATGTACATGTAATGATTATAAAAGCAAATATGCATCAGTATGAAATTTGGAGTAATGAATAACAATTCCCTTTGAAAAAGAGCTGATTTCTCAATCGACTACAAACTCGTCCATACATAAAAATATGTTAAAAAACAAGTAAAGTTCATCGATCAAATTCATGAATATTCATTTGAAAATTACTTTTTCTTCGACATATTATTTTCCTACCCCAAAATTTGCATTCTGCACACCGATGTCACTTTTCACTGCAGTGTCTAACGACATTATAGAAAATCCAGAGGTCGTGCGTTATATCACGAATATAATTAGTTTTCTAATTATTTAAACTTCAAGCACGAGTTCAAAATAGATGGAATTTTTTAGTTGTGTCACGCTCAGTAGAGTCAAATGTGGGAAAATGTTATATTATATTAGTGCATAAAATAAACATGATAGTGCCTGGTAAATTCTACGAAACATAGAAGATATACAAGGATTAATTGAAATGTAGTTTGATATATGATATGTATTTTAATGTATCGACAATAAATGGTTAAAAGATTTGATAATAATTTTATTTTTTATTATTAGGAAAACAGTGTTTTAACGTATTTTTTATACCTTGCTAGAACTTTTTGTACCGATATTTAATATTTTTGACAGAGAATATTTTACTTTCTTTATTGGACCTGCCCAAAAATTTAATCACTTCTTCCTTCAGTAAATAAATGTAAAATGTTTTTTGAATCATTTAAATCAGATGCTCCGTTGACTCGAAAACTAAATCGACATTTC